CCACGCGGGCTCGGGGCCGCTGTCCCGCGTCCCCCCGGGACGGCCCTTCCACGCTCACCTTGGCGTAGGCTTTGTACACCGTGGCGTACGTGCCACTGCCCAGGCGCTCGGTGAGGATGAAGCCGTCCAGCCGCGGGGGACCCCAACCGGGACCCGCCATCACTCGCCCGCCCGCCCGCGGCCTTCCGGGTTTCCAGCGCCGGTTCCGGCCCGGGCGCGACGATCCCTGCGTGCGTCTAGGGGGCTGGGCTCCACGCGGCCGGCCCCGCCCGCCGGAAGCGCAGCGGGGCCCCGCCCCTAGTCCACTAAGTCCCGCCCCCGGGCCCCTCCTCATACCGAAGCCCCGCCCCGAGCCCCTCCTCGTGCCGCGAAGCCCCGCCCCCGGCCGCAAGGCCCCGCCTCCCTCACTCCCCCCAGTCCCCCCCACAGGACGGCTTGGGAACCCTGCGGGGTCCGACGCCTGGAGGTCCCCCACATGCCATCGGGGTGCTGGGGCCGGGGGCTCAGCGGTGCCCTTCGGTAAGGGCCGGCTGCGTCCCCAGTCCGCTCATCTTCACCAAGGCAGCAGGACCGGGGCTCTCTGAAAATGTCTTTATTTAAGCACAAAAATGGAGACATACATATACATTTGTACATGGAGGAAAAAAATACCAGAAAGTTTACAAAACCCTGGTGGCTGTCGTCCGGGGGTGTAGACCTGTGCGGTCTGACCGCCCCGGCTGGGCCCACAGGCCGACGCTGGCAGCTGGGGACAGGTTCCACGCCCACACCAGCTGCCCCAGCTCTGCAGGGCAGGGCGCAGGCTTCGCCCGGGCCTCCCGGGTGCCCGCTGCCGAGACACACCCGGAGACCACTAGAGTGGAGGGGACCTAGCCTCTACTGTGGTGTGGGAGACAGCCAGGAAAGGTGGTTCGGCAGTCCCGCCTGCAGGACCCCCGCCCTCCCTAGGAGCCATCCAAGCTGGGTACTGCTGAGGGTGAGGTTGGGAGTGTGGCTAAGGCACAGGGCAGGGCAGCGGGCCTTCGGGAGGACAGGAAGTCAAACCAACCAGAGCCAAGCAGATCATGCCGGGAAGCCAGACTTCCCAAAACACTGCCAGAGACTGGGCAGCACAGCCCTGTGAACAACCTTGTCCATCTCTCCCCATCCTCCAAGGCCAACCGACCCATTATACATTCAGAAAGTCTGAAGGGCTCGGGGAGGGCTCCCAGGGGCACCAGGGGGTAGGCGCACTGGGACCATGCAGGGGTCTAAAGGTGGCTTGGATCTGTCCATGAGGAACATGGGCAGCCAGCCTGGAGGTCCTGGAGACCACTGCACAGTGATCTGGGGAGAAGAGCGACGGGCTAGCCTGCTCCTCCACACTGCAGCCCCCCGAAAGTGGGGAGCTATCCAGCTTGAGCAGGCGGGGCAGGCGTGGTGAGGCCACAGGCTCTACCCACAGAATCTGACTCAGGCCAGGCCTGCTGGGGAAGAGTGGAATCTAGGCTGCCAGCTAACTATTCCTGGTGGAGTGGGGCCTGGCTCGGCAATGATCTCGTGTGTATGTGCACGCGTGTGCGTCCTCCTGAGGAAAGACAGCTTTCACTCAAAAGGACTTTTTGCTTCCAGACAAAACCCCTACCAAACCATTACCAGAGAAGGAAAAGACAGTTATGTTATTTTTGCTTTTCTCGCATGTAAAAAAAAAAAAAATCCCTGTCCCTGCCCCCGCCCTTCCCTGGGGTCCTGGGGTCCTGGGGGAGGCGCTGATTGCTGAGGAAGGACCCCGCAGGTCTGTGCTGGGCAGAGCCACTGCATAAAGCACCCATGGCAAGTGCAGCTCAGAAGGCAGGCGAGAGAGGAGGCCGGGGCAGGAGGGCAGTCAGGAGGCTTAGTTGCCCTGGAAGGCTCCCTGGGCGGCAGAGGTGGCGGCACTGCGGAAGGTTCTGTTGCTGAAGATGCCCTGGGAGAACTCCTCCTGGGCCTGCTGGAAGCTGGCTCCCGTGCGCCGGTAGAAGGAGTGCACCTGGGTGGAGGCTGGGGTGAGGACCCTGCCCGGGGGTGCCCAGGCCTGGCCACCCAAGCCACACTCTAACAGGGGCTGCCTACAGCCCAACCCTGCCTGGCTGCCCGCCCCACAGCCTCACACCCAGGCCCTCGACCTCTGGGGGCCCAACTGTGGAGGTGAGGGGGGGCAGGAGTTTGCTGGGTTGCTGTGGCAGCTCCCCCTCCCCGGTCCACTTACCCGCTGGAGGAGGAAGAGTGAGAGGCCAGCACAGAGGGTGAAAAAGCCAGCGACCACCATCATGATGATCGACACAGCCAAGGGTCCTTGATGAATGGAAGACAGGGCTGCCAGCCAACCACTAGAGGGAAGCCAGGTCGGTGGGAGGAGTCAGTACTGGCCCCGCCCACCACCTGGGTACCTACCAGTCTGTGGGCCTCCGTCTCCCCCTATGGGGGTTGGCACTGACAAAGGGGGCTGGGCACTGCGCAGATGCCCGAATGCAGCCTCCCACAGGGAATCTAGACCGTGAACGTCTGGAGCGAGGTGTCAGGTGCAGCAGTGGGCTGGGCCTCGTCCCATGCGTGGGGGTGGGGGTGGGGCGGGCACAGGCCGCCTCCATCCTTGCTCCTGAGGCATCGCTCTGGGGAGGAAGAAGCCTGGCCTCTTCATCCGGTCACCTCGGCTTCTCTCGCCAGGACCCAGGGACTCTGTCTGTCTTTAACGGATCATGTCACTTGCTGAGCCCCAGTATCCTCAACCTCTCAACCTATAAAGGGACATTCTCATGCTTTTTTTTTTTTTGCCAGCCCTGGAGCTTGAACTCAGGATCTGGGAACTGTCCTAGAGCTTCTTTTGCTCAAAGCTAGTGCTCTCCACTTGCGCCTCAGAGCACCACTTCTGGCTTTTTCTGTGTATGTGGTACTAAGGAATCGAACCCAGGGCTTCATGTATGCTAGGAAAGCACTCTACCACTGAGCCACACAGCCCTCCTCTTACTTTTTGATTTCAAAAGCTTACTACAAAGCCACAGAAATCAAAAGAACACGTGGGCCTGGAGAAAGAAACCCCAGATCTATGGCCCGAGAGAGAATGGAGAGGATCCAGGAATCTACAAACAAACCCAAATTCCTACCAACTAAGTAAGTGTTGACAAGAGTATTAAAACCAAAGAAGAAAAAATAGTTTCTTTAACCAGGAAGGTGCCAGTGGGGCAAGGCCTGTAATCCCAGCCACTTAGGAAGCTGAGATCTGAGAATCAAGGTTCAGGGCCAGCCCAGGCAGAAAAGCCCCAAGACTTTATAGACAATTAACCGGCAAAAATGCCAAACTAACTGGGTAGTCATTCTAGCTTCTCTGGAGACTGAGATCTGAGAGTCACAGTTCAAAGTCAGCCTGGGCAAGAGTCTCTGAAACTTTTTTTTTGTTGGTTGGGGGGCTTGAACTCTGGGTCTGGGTACTGTCCCTCAGCTCTTCAGCTCAAGGCTACCACTTGAGCCACAGTACCACTTCTGGTTCTCTGAGTGGTTTATTGGAAATAAGTCTCATGGACTTTCCTGCCAGGCTGGCTTTGAACCTTGATCCTCAGATCTCAGCCTCCTGAGTAGCTAGGATTACAGGTATGAGCTACTGGCACCGGCTGTGAAACTCATCTCCAATGAACCACCAGAAAACCAGAAGTGGAGCTGTGGCTCAAAGTGGTAGAGGGCTAGTCTTGAGCAAAAGAGCTCAGAGACAGTGCCCAGGTCCTGAGTTCAAGCCCCACAACCAACAACAACAACAAAAAAAAAAAAAACAGGCAGCCGGGCGCTGGTGGCTCACGCTTGTAATCCTAGCTACTCAGGAGGCTGAGATCTGAGGATCGCAGTTCAAAGCCAGCCCAGGCAGGAGAGACCATGAGACTCCTATCTCCAATAAACCACCAGAAAACCGGAAGTGGTGCTGTAGCTCAAGTGGTAGAGCGCTCGCCTTGAGCTACAGCGCCACTTCCGGTTTTCTGGTGGTTTATTGGAGATAGGAGTCTCATGGTCTCTCCTGCCCGGGCTGGCTTTGAACTGCGATCCTCAGATCTCAGCCTCCTGAGTAGCTAGGATTACAGGCGTGAGCCACCAGCGCCCGGCAAGAGTACCAGTCTTAAGCAAACAAGCCAGTAAGAATGGAAAGCCATGAGTTCAAGCCCCAGAATAGGCAGAAGAAGAAAAAAGCCCCTAACAGATGGTACTGGACAACTTCACCAGATATGATACAGAACTGACCCTACCTCTCCATATGTGAAAATCAGTTCAAAACAGGACAAAATTCTAAATATAAGGAGCTAAAACTATGCAATTCTTAGAAGAACACAGAAGTAACTTTTGTTTTGGGGACATAGGATCACTATGTAGCTCGAGATGGCTTTTTTTTTTTTTTGGTGTGTGTGTGTGTCAGTATTAGGACTTGAATTCAGGGCCTGGATACTGTCCCTGAGCCTTTTTACTCAAGAATGGTATTCAACCATTTGAGCCACACCTCACCCTGTGGATTTTTTCCACTTGTGGCAATTAGATAAAAATCTCATGGAGACTTTATTGGCCAGGCTGGCTTCAAATTTTGATCCTCAGATCGCGGCCTCCTGAGTAGCTGAGATACAAGCATGAGCACCAAGGCCCAGTTTCATTATGCAGTTTAATGGCAGCCAGAGGCTTGGGAATGAGAGCTTGAAGGGGGGGGCAGCAATGTTCTGCAGGGGGGTAGAGAGGAGGCTGAGCTCATCTTGGTGAACCCAGCTAGGGCAGTGAGGGCTGGGACCAGAACTGAGGCTTCTGAATCCAGGGCCACACAGTTAATTGATCACAGCTTTGCTACCAGGATCTTGCTTGGGGCCGTCAACCACAAGAGGCCAGACTAGAATCAGCAGGGAGACTGGAAGCAGGGACCAAAATAAAAGTCTCCAGGCTCACATTGCTCAGGCAAAGGGCAGCCTGACCTTTCAGCAGTGCTCCCAGTGCACTGGGGTAGGAAGGAAGATGGGGGACTCAAGGAGGACGGCAGGATGCAGCCAGCCAGGGAAGGTGGAGCCATCTCTGCAGGCCCAAGGCCTCTGGAGAAAGGTGTGCAGCTCTGGGGCTGTGAAAGCCTGAGCCTCCATCGGCCTGCAGGCAAGTGTGACAAGAGAAAAGCCGCAGTTCTAACAGTTCAAGCCAAGTCCACGCATACCCCACAGCAGAGAGCACGGGCAGACGGGAAAGGCTACTGATAAGGAACTGGAAAGGGGCCGGAGCCCGTGGCTCATGCCTGTAATCCTAGCTACTCAGGAGGCAGAGATCTGAAGATGACAGTCTGTGCTGAAAGTCTGTGAGATTCTTCTCTCTTATTACCTACCCTCGTCTGTGTAAAGGCCCTGGGTTCCATCCCCAGCAGGATAGAAATAAAAAGAAAACACACTAGGGAAAGGAGTCCAAGATGGATCTAAGCAGGCCTAGGAGTTCCTCCTTTCATGGCAAAAGTGGGGCTCTTCTACATCACCCAACACAAATTCCCTCTGTAATGCCCCAAGTCTCACCTGGTGCCCAGGTTAGGCAAGCCAATCAACTGGATGAAGTAGATCCCTATTTGACAAAAAAACACGAAGAAGAACACGAAGAAGCTGAAAGAGTTGTCAGACCTGTGGGGAGATAGGGAAACGGGCAGTCATGAGGGCTGGACCATGTTTCTCCACTCCTTAGTGGGTGTGACGCCTCAACTCACGGAGCCAGGGGACAAGGAGACAGAGCCCCATGGACTAGCCACATGTCCCACACGCAATGTCGCCACAGTGGAAATGCGCTGCCTCCTGCTGCGTAGAGTTCTGATCAAGATGGTCCCTCCAGGCATAATATAGCTGGGCACTGGTGGCTCCCACCTGTAATCCCAGCTACTCAGGAGGCTGAGATCTGAGGATCACAGTTCAAAGCCAGCCTGGGTTAGGAAAAGTTTCTGGACTCTTATCTCCAATAAATCACCAAAATTGTGGCTCAAGTGGTAGAGTGCTAGCCTTGAGCAAAAAAGCTCAGGGACAGTACCCAGGCCCTGAATTTAAGCCCCAGGACTGGGGGCCAGACAAGTGCACAATATAAAGAGCCTAGCAACCATCTCCTGCAGTGCTTGCTACAGTACCACCAGGAAAGAAAGTCAAGGCCAAAGTCACAATCATAAAAACACTGCAGACCAAGGGCTGAGGATGTATGTGAGGCTCTGAGTTTGATCTCCAAAACTCCCCTGGGTGCAAGAAGTATTATTTTTTTTTTTTTTGGGTCAATCGTGGGGCCTGAACTCTGGGCCTGGGCGCTGTCCCACAGCTCTTCAGCTCAAGGCTAGCACTTTACCACTTGAGCCACAGCACCACTTCTGGCTTTTTTCTGCTTATACGGTGCTGAGGAATTGAACCCAGGGCCTCATGCATGAGAGGCAAGCATTCTACCACTGAGCCCCCTTCCCAGCTTCTGCAACAAGTTATTTGAGAAGTCAGTGGCTCACATCTGTAATCCTAGTTACTCAGGAGGCTGAGATCTGAGGACAGGTTCAAAAAGCCATGTGGGGCAGTAAAGTATTAGACTTTCATTGCCAATCAACCAGCAAAAACCCAGAAGTGGAGGTGTTGTTCAAGTGGCAGAACACCAGCCTTGAGTGATAAAGCTAAACAAAGCACAAGAATCTGAGTTCGAGCCCCAGAACCACCACCAAAAACAACAAAAAAAAGTAGTATCTGGTAATACCAACATTGAATAAACTCCCCAAGTGCTTGAGTGGTGCGGTGTACCTGTATGTCCTTGAGTACTGGAATGCAGTGGGGGTTCAGGCAAGGGGGTCCTGGACAAGGGAGTCCTGCTAGGACCCCAGATCTCAAGGCATCAAGTGTGACCCCAGGGACCTGGGGGAGGGGGCCCGCACAAACTCAGGCTCACAGGACTGGCCGCTGAGTGTGCCCACCTAGCACTCTACAGAGACTTGATTCAGAACCTTTGAGAGGAAGCCCTGGGGCTTGAACTCAGGGCCTGGGCACTGTCCTTGAGCTTCTTTTCCTCAAGGCTATCACTCTACCACTTGAGAGCCACAACGCCACTTCCCATTTTTATGTGGTACTGAGGAATCGAACCCAGGGCTTCATGCATGCTAAGCACTGAGCCACACTCCCTGCCCAAGTTCAGCTTTTTGGTGATTCACTGGAATTAATAGTCTCAGGGACTTTCCTTCCCAGGCTGGCTTTGAACCTCAACCCTCGCAGCCCAGCCTCCTGAATAGCTGGGATTAAAGGCGTGAGCTACTGGTGCTTGGAGAAGAGCTACCTATTTTGAGCACCTGCCCACAAGCCAAGTTCCCTCCCAATAAGGACGGGGCTTGGGCAGGCCTGAGGTACAACTGAGGAAAGGGGCTCGTGATCCTGGCTCTGTCAGGCGGGCACAGGAAAGCTGAGCCCCAGACAGGGGCCTGGAGCCTGGGACCCAGCCACACCCTCACCCCTTGCGCCCACTCTACTCACCTAAAAGCCTTGTAGATGGGTCGGTACCAACAAAGGAAGGCACAGGGGGTGAAGATCACAAACCACAGGATGGAGAGACCGAAGGCCGTTCCTCCGCCGCCGGCCATGTCGCTGGTGAACCAGGCCAGGCACGCAAGCAGGTTCAGAAACAGAGTCAGTGAGTGCACTGGGGGAGGGCAGGGAGAGACGGGGCTTGAGCCAAGATGGGTGAAGGGCTTCCCCAAGGGGCGCCCGCCCTAGGACAGGAGATGAGGTCCATGCTGGGAGGACTGGGTCTGGCCGAGGCAGGGTGAGCTTCCAGTCCTGGCTTCCTAGGCCCTCACAAGAGGAACAACAAGCCTCCCTGTCTCCCGGAGGCGGGGGGGGGGGCGCACTCAGGGCTGGGCCTTAGGAAGTGACCTAGCGCCCCCTTCCTCATCCAGGGGGCCTAGAGACTTTCCACTACCGTCTACCACTTGTTTTTGGTGCCAGCCCTGGGACTTGAACTCAGATCCTAGGGCACCATCCCTGAGCTTTTTGGCTCAAGCCTAGTGCTGCACAGCTTTGAGCCATAGCTTCCCTTCCAGCATTTTTGGTAGCTAATAAGACATAAAGAGTCTCCCGGGCTTTCCTGCCTGGGCTGGCTTTTAGCTGTGATCCTCAGATCTCAGCCAGTGAGACATGAGTGCCTGGCTACAGGCCGCTTGCTACAGGAATCGTCCAGGGACTTGAAGTCTCCTTGCTTAGCTGGCCCTCTTGCGACGGTTCCCGAACAGGGAGCGGCCTGTGGGTGCAAGGACCGTGCACTCGGCCCCGGCCCTGGGAGGGCGACATCTGCAGAGACCCGACACGGCAGGGAAAGACACGCATGGCAGAGACGCCGGCAGGAGTGGGACTCACACATCCAGAGATAGTAGAGCATCTTGCAGATGCGCTGGTAGTCGGCGGGGATCTCGGTGGAGAAGTCCTGGTAGAAGCAGGGCTTGACAGGGCACCAAGAGGGCAGTGGGGGCCAGTTGTTCTCCCGCACTGCAGGAGACAGGAAGTGAGGGAGGGTCCAGCCTCAGGAGCAGCAACAAGCTGGGCCCGGGTAGCCTACGCCTGTAATTCCAGCCACTCAGGAGGCTGAGATCTGAGGATCGTGATCTGGAGTGAATCTGGGGGAACAGACAACTTCCAAAGACACTTCTCTCCCTCCAATTAACTGGCAAAAAGCTGGAAGTAGTGGTGTGGCCAAGTGGTAGAGTGCCAGCCCTTTGTGGAAAAACTGCAAGAACATGAGCACCAGTACTGGCATGTACACACACAGAGCAAAGAATTTCAGAGCTGGGATGAAGTGCTGAAATTTTCTACATTGGTTAGGACCCCATGGCAGGTATCTTAACTTTTTTTTTTTTTTCTGTCAGTCTGCTGTCCCTCAGTTCTTCAGTCCAAGGCTAGCGCTCTACCATTTGAGCCACAGCACCACTTCCAGCTTTTTCTGTTTATGTGGTGCTGAGGAATCGAACCCAGGGCCTCATGCATACAAGGCAAGCGCTCTACCATTGAGCCACTTTCCTAGCCCTATTTTTGTATGTCTTTTTTTTTTTTTTGGTCGGTCATGGGGCTTGAACTCTGGGCCTGGGCGCTGTCCCTCAGCTCTTCAGCTCAAGGCGAGCGCTCTACCACTTAAGCCACAGTGCCACTTCCCTAGCCTTATTTTTTTTTTACTGGAGCTGAGTCTCACGGAGTTTGCTGCCCTGACTGGCTCTGAACCTCAATCCTCAGATCTCAGCCTCCTGAGTAGCACCCAGCCTGTCTTCACTTTCCTCCCCAGGACTGACCACCTTTGAGAACATCAGAAGCTCTGGCAGCTCTGCAGACGCCCAGGAGAAAGGCAGCTCAGGTGGGTGTGGGGAGGCTCCTTGCAAGGCCAGTCTCTCCCGCACCGGCCAGGGCCTTGGCAGCCTTCCCTTACCATGCAAGTTAGCTGCGGTGTTTTGTAGCTCGCGCTCCTTGCGCTCGAGCTCAGCAGCTTTCCTGTCCAGTTCTTCCTGCTGCCGGAGCAGGCCTGCCTGGGCTGCAGCCACCACAGCCTGGAGAGAATGGGGACCGGAGGCAGCCAGACACAAAGACAGAAGGACAGTGTCAACCTAGGCAGATGGGCAGAGCCCGGGACAGTACCCACCCCCACTCCCAGCATGTCTGAGGGACCAGGAGCTCCACAGTGATGGGCCAAGGGGACCCGTCTCCCTGCACCCCCACACCACCTCTGACTCCTTGCCCACTCCAGGGCTCTCCTGTCCTTCAGCCCTGAAATGTCCCCTTGACCACTTCTTATAGACACTTTTGAAGGTAAAGGCAAGGGGGGAAAGACCTCACAAGAGACCTGGCTGAAGTCAGAACCCAGAGACCCAGGTTGTGTGCAGAGTTGGGGGCGGGGAGGAGTAGAGTGGGGATCAGGAAAAGCTGGCAGCAGGGGACACGTGCAGGGCAGGCTGTGTGTACTGGAGCCTAGGGATTTGCATCTCTTGGCCCACCCTACACCCCTTGTGATTGGCCAACCATCTAAGGACCGCCCTGCTCTGCCTGGCTTCCATGCACACCGAGGCCAAGCTCTTCCTCCTGGGCAGGCAGAACTCGGCCTGGGGCTCTGCTGCTGCTACTGGCCACCCCGGTTCCTGCTGGCTTCCTTGCGGGGAGCAGATGGCACGTGGGTCCTCTTACAGACCCGAGGGGTCACACTGAGGCGGTGAGGTGGGGAGAACCAAGCACACAGTACCTCACTGAGGGTCTCAAGCCCCAACTCCCCAAGTCGGTGCCTCCAGGAGCAGGGCTGGGTCCCTGCAGACCACCCTGGGCTTGAGCCCCGCCGTGCTCGGGGGCTGCCTGGCCCCCCTCGTGCTCCCCTAGGCTGGGCCTACCTTGGGCAGCTTTCGCAGGTAGCTGTCTCTGAGGATATTATCTCCTCCTAGCAACATCTGCCTCTCTGAGAGCTCGCCCGCCGCCAGCAGCCGGGCGGGAAGGAACTTGCTGGCCTGCCTAAGCTGGAACACACAACTCCACTGTGGGACGCGCTCGGGGGGCAGCCAGGGGCCCAGAGGAGGGCGGGAAGGGGATGGGGGGGAGAGGGGTAAGCACAAAGCAGACCAGGGTCACCGGACTTGGGGATGGGACAACAAGAAGTGGGAAGACAGAGGGAGGAATAAGGGGATGGGGGGGGCGGCGGGGAGGAGACAGGCAGGGAATGGAGCTGGGCAGTAGAGCCTGGGCTTAACATGCGCTGCGTGAGCCCCAGCTGTGCGTGCATGTGCACATGCGCACACAGACTCAGGGCCCAGGAAAGAGAAGAGAAGGCCGCATGCGCCCTGGGTGGCGGGGCAAATGCTCTCCGTAAGCAGAGGGTATGGTGGGGTGGCGGTGGGTGGTGGGTGGCAGTACCGACTGGCAAGGCGGTCTCTCCACTTGCAAGTGACCATAGATCTACAGGGACTGGCAAGGGGCTCCTCTCCCCACCAGCAGCCTGGGGTCCCGCTCCGGGTCTGGGTGGCCTCCCTCCGGGGAGGGGAGCCCCAGCAGCCACCATACCTGGGGGTGCGGCTCCGTGGGCTCCACGGAGGGCTGCAGAACCGCTGGCTGCGAGGGCCCGGGGCGCTGTGTGGCAGGAACCGTGGTGGCCGCATTTGTCTGTGTGGGTCGGAGCACAGAGGGAGATGAGGGGCCTGGCTGTGGCACCCCCAGGGAAGGGCCACGCCCTGGGCCTTCCTCAGCAGCTTCTTGACCCACAGGACCCAGGGCCCACAGACCCCCAATGGCAGACCCCAAGGTCACAGCCAGGGCCACATCACCCACCTCTGAGAAAGGGTTGAATTCAGCCAGGCCACCCTGGGGGGCGTTGGTCAGCTGGGTCACAGAAGGATCCTGAGAAGGGGAGAGAGCAGCATTAGAAACTAGGGAAGCTGGGGCATGGTGGCTCATGCCTATAAACCCAGCTACTCAGGAGGCTGAGATCTAAGGATCCCAGTTCAAAGCCAGCTCAGGCAGGAAAAGTCCAGGAGACTCTTATCTCCAATGAACCACCAAAACAAACTGGAGTGGAGCTGTGGCTCAAAGTGGCAGAGCGCCAGCCTTGAGCAAAAGAGCTCAGCGACAGCGCCCAGACCCTGAGTTCAAGCCCCAGCATCAAATAAATAAATAAATAAGAAACCAGGGAGAGGGTGAACCCTGGGCAGCAGTCAGCAGGACCCCTGTGATGCAGAGCAGCACTGAGGCTGCTGATCACCTGCCCAGCCAGGGCGGCCTCAACCAGAGGCTGCACACACTCTGCTCCTACATAGCTGGAATCCCTTCTCCCCTGGAAATGGGAGGCAGGCAGCCATCTAAGGGCCCTGAGCACCCTGAACTCACAGGACTGTGCTTATATTGAATTGGCAACAGGAACCAGGGTCTCTGGAGAGGTGGTGGCGAGTGACAGAGATGGAGAACGTACATACTTACAACTCTTTTAGTTATTATTCTATAGAAAGCATTTATTGGGGCTGGGAATATGGTTTAGTCGGTAGCGTGCTTGCCTAGCATGCACAAAACCCGGCATTCAATTCTCAGTACCACGTACACAGAAAAAAAAACCCAGAAGTGGCGCTGGGGCTGAAGCGGTAGAGCACTCGCCTTGAGCAAAAGAAGCTCAGGGACAGTGTCCAGGACCTGAGTTCGAGCGCCAGTACTGGCCAAAAACAAAAAAACAGTTATGATTCTTTTTCTCCCTCTTCCCTTCCACCTCCTTTCTGCCCTGGGGCTTGAACTCAGGGCCTGGGAGCTGTCCCTGAGCTTTTGTGGTCAAGGCTAATGCTCTACCATTTCAGCCACAGCTCCACTTCTGGCTTTTTGCTGGTGATTTGGAGATTAGGAGTCTCATGGACTTTCCTGCCTGGGTTGGCTTTGAACCCCGATCCTCAGCTCTCAGCCTCCTAAGAAGTTAGGATACAGGCGTGAACCACTAGCAACCTGGCTCTTTTTCTTTTTTTTTTTTTTTGTGGTCCTAGGAGTTGAAGCCTCATACTTGCTAGGCAAGCACTTTATCTCAAGCCACATCCTCAGACCTCTTTGCTTCAGTTTTTTCTTTTTTGTCGGTCATGGGGCTTGAACTCAAGGCCTGAGTGCTGTCCCTGAGCTCTTTTGCTCAAGGCTAGTGCTCTACCACTTTGAGCCCCACAGTTCCTGCTTTATTTTTCGGATAGGATCTCTTTAACTTTTTTTCTGGCCTCAAACCACTACCCTCTCATTTCTACCTTCCTAGTAGCTGGCTTGAGTCACTGCACCCAGCCTCAACTAGTAGTCTTCTCCCAGAATCACTTGGCTCCCTGCAAGGAAGACTGGGACTCAGTATCTAGTGTTCTCCTTTCCTAGTCAGCGGATACCCACCCAGAGCCGAGCGAGGCTGCTCAGGTCACTGAAATCAGACCCAGCAGCCCAGGAACGGGTTACTGGAGTCTGAGTCACAGCAGGACAGGGGACTGGAGGGACAAGTGAGGAGCAGTTTCAGGTGCAGGCACACACGTGCCCAAGGTGCACATCTGCGAGGAAACCCAAGGCTCACACAAGACGCCCTTTCCCTTTCCAATGCAGAGGTGGGGATGGAGTTGGGGGAGAAAGCACCCCAGACCCACAGATGGTCTTTCCAGCAAAGGCTACACTTACGGCCTGCAGACAGCTTTACTCCAAGGGGCAAACAGATGCTGGCAGCACCAACCTCCTCTTCCTCTCACCAAATGACGCCAACTGCTCTAAGTGGGTCAAGGAGTTAAGACAGGATGGTGGAGACTAAAATTTCACCCAGTAAGAGTAACCTGAGCCCCCAGCTGCCCAGCCTGGTTCACGCCCGTTACTGAATTAATAACCTGGAATAAACTGCGGAACACAGTTGCTTTCATTCAGATGCAACAGTTAATGTGTGCCAGGTCATCCTGCTCATGCAGGCCAAGCCCTAGCCATTTTGCAAGCCACAGTCAGCTGACTTTCTCCAGTCTTTTCCTGCTATGGCTGCCCCCAGCAAGCTCCCAGTGTAAGACTGACTTCTGTTCCCTCTAAACACACTCAAGAAATACCCCATAGGAGACCATGTCCAAAAAGAAATGTACTCTTTACCTGACTTATATAACTGTAATTATACATAACTGTATAATACCAATGGAAAAAAGAAAGAAAGAAATACCCCATAAGAGACATGTCCAGTGGCTCATGCCTGTAATTCCAGCCACTCAGGAGGCTGAGAGCTGAGGATCCACATTCAAAGCAAACTTGGGAGACTAGGAATGTGGCTTAGTGGTAGAGTGCTTGCCTAGCATGCATGAAGCCCTGGGTTCGATTCCTCAGTACCACATACACAGAAAAAAGCTGGGAGTGGTGCTGTGGCTCAAGTGGTAGAGCACTAGCCTTGAGCACAGAGAAGCTCAGGGACACACAGCCCAGGCCCCGAATTCAAGCCCAAGGATGGGCAAAAACAAACAAACAAAAAAAGCAAGCTTGGGCAGAAAAGTTTGTGAGAGTCCTATTGCCAGCTTACCATCAAAAAGGCAGAAGTGGAACTGTGGCTCACGTGGCAGAGTGCCAGCCTTGGATGACAAAGCTCAGGGGCAGCACCCAGGCCCCTGTGTTCAAGCCCCAGTAGCAGCACAAAAACAAACAAATACCCCACGAGCTAAAAATCCCAGGCGTTTCTCTCTGGGAAGCAAGAGTCACCAATGGCCTGAAGCTCTGAGCCGTGGTGAGGTCCCATTTGCTGGGAACCAGGCTGAGTGTCACAGGCCGAGAAAAGCTATCCCCAGAGGGCTGTCAGGGCCCTGGCACACAAGCCACAGGTGACCTTGAAGCTCCCTGACCCAGAACGCGAGAATCCGTCCGCAGGAAATATGACAAACCACGTACGACTGTCCCTGTGGGGGCAGTCAGGGGCACTGGAGAGCAAAGGCAGGTTTCTGCGCATGTCCCCTGGAAGGGCACAGCGTCATGCGGGCACAGCTGCGAGGTGGCAGGCAGACAGAACGGGCTTTGTTATGTAAGTGCCACATTAGTTTTGTCAAAAGTAATCACAGGAACTAATTCAGGCAGGAATACACATCGAAACAATGGCTACCACAGGCAGTGAGGACGCCTTCTGCCCTAGCTGCCACGTTTTCTATCGGTGGATTGTTAGTTTTGCTTTTGTTGTTGTTGTTTTGGCAGTAATGGGGTTTGCGCTTCGGGCCTGTGCTGGCTAGACAGGCATCCTGTAGGCCCCCAAAGCTCCTTTTACCTTAAAAACACAATCACCTGCTGGAGTGCCGGTGGGCATGCCTGTGATCCTAGCTACTCAGGAGGCTGAGATCTGAGGATCGAGGTTCGAAGCCAGACCTGGCAGGAAAATCCATGAGACTCTTTTCTTTCTTCTTCTTTCTTTTCTCAGTTGTGGGGCCTGAACTCTGGACCTGAGTGCTGTCCCTCAGCTCTTCAGCTCAAGGCTAGTGCTCTACCACTTGAGCCACAGCGCCACTTACAGCTTTTTCTGCTTATGTGGTGCTGAGGAATCGAACCCAGGGCCTCATGCATGCAAGGCAAGCACTCTACCACTGAGCCACCTTCCCAGCCCTCCATGAGACTCTTATCTCCAATGAACCACCAGAAAACTGGAAGTGGTACCTTGACTCAAGTGGTGGCGCACTAGCCTTGGGCCGAAGAGCTGAAAGACAGCGCCCAGGCCCAGACTTGTTCAAGCCCCACGACAAACAAAAAAGAAGGGCAGGGTACTCAGAATAGGGAACAATAGGGGCTGAGTGAGCTGGGTGTTCACAATGTCCATCCAGGCATCCAGGCTGCAATGAGAACGAGAGATGGATGGTGGTGAGAACTGCTGGGACAGGAGAGGGGAGGAGAGGAAGGAGGAGAAAGAGAAAGAGGAGGAGGTGGCGGCACTGGCTCAGCACTGTGGGGTGATCAGGAGTGGAAAGACTACAGCGCAGGAATGGAGGGGGAGGAAGGAAAAGAGAGTGGCGGGGGGAGGGGTGCCAGCCTGGATGGCTGGTTAAAGTGCCACCTTCGGCACTGGGAAAGGAGAAACAGGTTTTGCAGGCTGGGCGTGGAAGGAGGTGGAGGATAAGGATGTGGGCAGGGTAGGCCTGAGATATTGCTTAGAAGCTGTGGAGGGGCTGAGACCAGGGATCTAGACTCCCACATGCAGATGCAATTCAGGGGCCCTGATGTCCTCAGTGTTGGTCAGTGAGGATGGGGTCTCTTGAAAACAGGCTGAGCAGGCCGAGGGAGCAGCCAGGGAACAAACAAGCATGTGCCTCAGCAATGGGGGTCTCCAGGCTCCCCACTCATGGAGACCACAGGACCTTAGAGCGAGGAGCAGCCCAGGCTACACACAGGAGCAGAGGGGTGAGCACATACAACCAAGTATGGGTTTAGGTTTTGTTGTTGTTGTTGTCAGTCCTGGGGCTTGAACTCAGGGCCTGGGCACTGTCCCTGAGCTTCTTTTGCTCAAGGCTAGCACTCTATCACTTGAGCCATAGCGCCACTTCTGTGTATGTGGTGCTGAGGAATCAAACGCAGGGCTTCATGTGTGCTAGGCAAGCGCTCTACCACTGAGCCACCTTCCCAGCCCTGCGTTTGTTTTTTGCGTGAGTGTGTTGATACTGGGTTTCATGGGCTTTCCTACCCACGATGGCTTTGAACTGTGAGGTGCAGATCTCTGCCTCCTGAGTAGCTGGGATTATTGAGCCCACAGCTTTTCACCATGCCTGGTGTGCGGTTACTATGGGTGGCCAGCGCTCAGCTGTGCTGTGGGACAGGGTCGGCCATCACCATTCTCCAGCCGGGGCCCATGGGCATCCTGAAGGGGCCCCGCCCGCTGAGTCACAAAGGCCGTGCACAGAGCTCTCTCCTCT